AGGATGATAGTCATCAGGCCAATCACCTACCGATAATATAAAAATCTTGATCAACCGTATGTGGCAAGTCTTGCTGTTGCAGAGGTCGCTTTCCTTAATTCTCACGGCTAACGTAGCCGTTGGATTTCGCTTCATTGCTGACATATGCAGTTATGGTTAGTTGGTTTTTGGAGTGACCAAGAAGACAAGCTCCCCCCCCCCCCCCCCCCCCCCCCGGGTTCCAGATGACGATTTATTTATTAATATTTTATGCTAAAATAAGCGTCACCACATACGTGTGTGTGGTACCATATAAATTCTGTGGGTCCTTTATAGATAAGTATGCGAGGACTCGTATGACGATTGAATTAATAGGATTCTAGATACTTTTACTTATCCTAGTGTGGATGCATGCTTAAACCTTGTCAAAAAAACACTTAGATTAATCAAGACTTCGAGGAGAAATATGAATAGGTCTGAGGAAAATTATAACCGATTCTGGTTTTGATCCATTCAACACGTAAACTCACCAATTAGATCAACAATATTTATTGGTAGATATAATTAAATTATCTAATATAAGTGGCAAAAAAAAAATATAGCAAAGAATTGCAACTCAATACACGAACCTCTCGTTACATTGAGAGTTTGAGAAATTATTAGAAGGATGTATCATATACGTACAAAATATACTGAAATTTTTGATGTAGATCATGCAAATAAGAATAAAACAGTAATATATAAAATATTGACCCGATTGTAGAATACGAACTGTTTAAATAATTTGATTAAAGACTAGTGTTTGACATTATATATTTAAGACAGATTTCGTCTCCACTATTATGCTTATAGATCTTTGAGTGTTTGTCACCTAAGATATAATGATCATGCACAAAAAAAAAAAAAAACATTGTAATTTGTATGCACAACAAATCAGAAAATTGTATTCATACTCTCTGATATATGTAAACATTGCTAATGACGAATTTATGAATGTAATGACTCTGATAATTACAAATTTATGTAAGTATTGAATGTTTATGAATCTGGATATATTTATAGGTGTAAGGGTGACTGTTCGAACGCGTGACCATTAATCAGATGCAATCTAAAATACACCTTTCATGAACAAACAGGATATTCAAATTCAAAAATGATGATAAATTCAAGTCCGAACTAATGCAAATTTAAATTTTAACGATCAAAAAAATTAAAAATTCATTTAGCAAACGAATTTTATCTAAAAATATAAGATTATATCCAACCCAATATCAAATAAGAGCTTAATCTTCTCCAGCATTTTTTTTATTATCAATTTTGGTCAATGGAAAAGTATTCGACATAAGAGCTCATTAAGTGTCTTCTCTATTAGTACAAGATGCTTCATCTAATACTGTATTCTAGAATCCTATAAGATTCTACATCTAATACTATTATATGGTCGCCCATGGAAACTTCTGTGGAGACTATTCTTTCTCTTTTGGAGGCTGTTGTTATAATAGTACTATGTTTTACAACTACCAACCCAACTCCACTCATAGCTTTGTCGTCCCAATTTCTGTTTACTCCTAGTCAATAAATCACTTTTTTTTTAAAATTTTTATAAGAAGGACTTTTCACATTGAAGCCTCCTGGCAACAAGCTCCCTTACAATATCTCGAAGCTACACGCCAAGCGGTAGCTGAAGGGCCGGCAGGTCAAAAAGTGATTAGTCTTTACCAAACAAGTTAGAATCAAAAGTTATAATTTTCTTTACTTCAAGTTTTTGAACTTTTTTTGGTCAAATTTTAATCAAATGAGATTAATTTACGATGAGACCGAGATGTAGATGGAGGTCGATTCTATATTTTACAATCGAATTTAAACAATCTCAGTCTAGTGTAACTTTACTAAATTTAGTACTAAACTTACCTCTTATTTTGTAATAATTTTCGGTATAATATTGAAAAATTCAAGTTTGAGCTTTTCGTACACATTAACACATGCAAATGCTAGATAATAGGTTCGTTTGGAGCTTGCTTTAGGATGTGAAATAGGAGTAAATATTGAATGCAACGGTGATACCATAATATGATAGCATTAACCAATAATAAAATTTCAAGTGGGTATGGTGAACTCTACTTGAGCTGACATAGAAATAGAGTAGGAAGTTATTTGCTTAGGTGACTGGTTGGTTAATAAATTTTGTGGGGTCCATTTGTTTATTTGAGATTTTATTATTAATTGGTGATACCACATTACATTGTCATGTGGTATCACTGTTGTAATCAATATTTTCTCGCGAAACAGAAGTTTGAAAAATAAAATAAAAAACTTAGAGTCAGAAAAACTTTTAAAACTGTTTGGAGTGTTTTTGAAAAAATCAATTTTTATTTGGTTATGATAAAAAAACTGTTTTTTTTCTCTTCCAAAATATCGATGAAAAAATTGTCTTAATAAGCGCAGGTCTAAGCGGACTAAACTTCTTTTCCTTTGAAACAAAAAAAAAAAAAATTTGAAGTTCTCAATCAACTCCAAACAGACCCAATGTCCAATTTGGTGGATGACCAAAAAAAAAAGTGCTATAATCAAATGGAAATAGTTTCATAAAAAAATGGACCTTTTCATTCAAAATGCCAAGTAGTAACCAGGAAAGGGAGGGTTCTTTTTCCTTTTCTTTTTGATACAGCATGTGGCATTCTGTTAATTGGAATGGTCTATTCAATGTTGGGCCATTCAATATAGTGAGAGGTCTTTTGTTAAAACAATAGACTACAAAGTGCATGTCTCTGAAAATTTAGGCATGGAAAAAAGGGGCAACAATTTTGTCCAATAACACATCTGTCATAATTTTAAGTCCTTTGGTTTTTTCCTTGCAAAATTGTACTTCTTCTCTATCTTTCTTCAAATATTTGATGAAATTGTTGCCATATAATCTGTTGGCACAATAAGATGGTTAAGTGTAAGAACAATTTCATAATCTGTGTTGAGGGGTGTTCAAGTTTTCGATTACTCGTAAATTTCGATTTTACTCAATCTGATTGATTGGCTATCCAAAAAAATCGGATAGACCAAGAAAAATTTTTTTCTTCAAAATATCAAATAGAAAGATAAAATATCATAATTATTAGCCATAAAATAGAGTCAACACTCCTAATTACGTTCTAATCACAAAGGACCAAAACACGGCTCGCCTAGGGGGCATGTTTGGTGTGTCACTCACAATCAAATCTATAAGTTCAACAACAGGACAACAATTATTAAACCAAACGGCTAACTTTTTATTGGTGTGAAGGAGGACAATTCAGCAACAAAAGCTTAGGGACCAAGAAAAGCCAGCCAAGAGTGTGAAAGACGAAGTTGCTACCTGAGATGGTTACCGCGTAGATTGTTGTTTACCAGTAAGTTACAATTATATTATGGGACAAAATAGAGGTGTTAATCGTGTCGTGTCGTATTAGTTTCGTGTCGTATTATTTTCGGTCGTGTCAATATTCGTGTTAATAAAAAATTATTTAATTTGACAAAACTAATATAATATTATTATAAAAATTATAAAATTATTAATTTTTATCTAAAATATTCATTAAATAATTATTTTTTATCTACAATACCAATTAATCGTATTATTTGTGTTAAATTTTAATTTGACTCATTTATTACACGTGTCAACGAATCATATTTTTTTCCAATACGTTTCGGGTTCAGTTCAAATCAAGTTCACGTGCGAGGCAAAAATTGAGACTCCTCGGACAAAATGCTTAACTTCTATCTTGTCGTGTGATGCCTTGCTAACCACGTTTTCCTCCAATGACGTGTTTTGGCTCATCACTTTCTTTCACCTAACCTGCTTTACTTGCTTTCTTCCAGAGTACCCCCACGTCCACCAGAGCGCGTGAATATATGTCTTGAGCAATGCACCGTGAGCATTGGGCAGATCTGAGTAAGAAAATTGTTAATTATTTTCAACAAAAAAAAAGGTTGGTTAATGAATATTACAATTAGTCCTCAAATGTTGTCTTTTGTTATAAAATGATCCTTAAATTTTTAATTATTTTAATTTAATTTTTTAACTGTCAATTAACTTGTTTTTTTTCTGATCATTTCAACCATTAAAATAAACAGATGCAAATCGCATGTTTGTCTTGTTAGTACAAACATTATTTCTAATTGCTAAACTTAATATAACGAGACAAAATTTAATAATTGAGGGATTAAAATAAAATAATTGAAATTTCAAGGATATTTTAGAAGGAAAAAAAAATTTAAGAACTAATTATGATATTTTCCTTTATTTCTATATTTTGTGAATATACGCAACAATAAATTTCTACACAATAAAGCTGCACCACAAAATTGATAATTTCTTAATACAAATTCAAGTGACATAAGCCAGTAAGTGAAATGATAAATAAACCGAGTTAATTTGAAATACGAATATCTTAATTTTAGCATGACAAGTATATTTAATTTTAATTAAATAAATAAACTGAATTAAAATTAATTAATATTCAGTGCGAGTGATAAAAAATTCGAGTAGATTGACAGTCATACTCCCAGCAAACTAGGAAAGAAATTCAATGACAAAATGAAATTACACACGCGCTCTGGTTGCACGTGGACTTAGTGTGGTTTAAAAGGGTTCGAAAAAAGGATCCAGAAGTGTCAATGAATCAGAGTAGACTCGCCTTTTAGCTCACCCCAAGCGACACGTCCGCTTTGACGCGGACACGCCTTCGCAAGCCATGGCGGCTACACATTGCACTAACCCCTTAAAAAATTCTCCATACCAAAACAGCCACTATCCATGACTATCCTACTCCCCAAGAAATCAAGGGCAAATCAGTCATTATACAAGACGGTGAAGAGAAGTAGTCCCCACTCCTCCAGCCTATAAATACCAAAAACACAAACTCGATATGTACTCACTCACTCCTACAAGGTTACAAATCTTTGACATACAAACATATTCTCAGATAGACTTCTATATTCTCACTTTCTCATAGAAACATATTCTGTTTTTGAATAATATTTTACTGACCATGACGGTGAAGAGAAGCAGAGAAGATGGAGAAGTTGAATCGTTTGCCATGGCCAACTGTTTGATGCTCCTCTCTCGTATCGGCAAGACTATGTCATCATCGTCGGCGGATCGTGTCTTCGAGTGCAAGACTTGCAGCAGAAAGTTTCCATCTTTTCAAGCGCTCGGTGGCCACCGAGCGAGTCACAAGAAGCCAAAATTAATGATGTTGGACCTTCTTCATCCAACTGATCAATCAAAACCTAAGACACATGAGTGTTCCGTTTGTGGTTTGGAGTTTGCAATAGGTCAAGCACTTGGTGGGCATATGAGACGCCACCGTGCATCTGGTAGTGAAGGGTTGAAAACGGAGAATAAACAATCGGCGGTACCGATTTTGAAGAGGTCGAATAGCAAGAGAGTTATGTGCTTGGATCTGAACTTGACGCCATATGAGAATTTTCTGGAGTTGGGGATGGGGAAGATGGCTTCGAATTGATACTAGACCGTTTTACTTGAACTTTTTTCATACTCCGGATTTTTTTATTCTATTTACAATCATAGTGTTGTTGGTTTTTATTTTTTGGGATTTAGATCATGTATATTTGATAGATTGAATTGCATCTTTTCTGAGATCCAGATGATGAGACGAACGCTTTTTTACAAGTTGTGCTTTATGTTCTTGAACGATCCACGCGCCTTTACCTAATAGGGACCGAAAGATCAGATTAATCGACACCAAAAGTCTCATTGAAAAGGTAATCGGATTACTTGTTCAACTCCGTCAATCTGAATGGAATTTGAAGCCCGGATCCAATTGGAGTAATAAATATTTTTTTGTGAAAGCAGAATCCAAGTAAATATGAAGTGGACGCAAGGGTCCGACTCTTGTGTTATACAGAAAGGGATATTGTTATTAAAATAAAGCTGTTTTACACGTTATTAAAAAGGGCATAATTTTAAAGAATCTAATTTGTGTTGTACAGTAGATGAGTTGTTTCCGTGCATACAAGTTAAGGTTTATAATAAAAGATAATTTTAAAACCATGTTGTATATGAATAAATTATAAAAATTTTGCAATTTTGAATTTTACAGAACATTTAATATTAGGTCACAATAAATGTTAGTGTCATGTTTTAACTCATGTAAGTCGGATTAGATTCAGTATTGGAATCAGTTGCAAGAAATTTGGGTTTAGTTCAATTTTAATTCTTGGAATTTTATGTTTAATTAGAGTTTATATATTTTTGGCTATCCATTAACTAAGATACAGTGAGAAAATCATAAAATTAAGTAAAAATACTACTAATTAAGGAAAATTGCTACTAATTAGCCAATTCTATCCTCTAAAGTGGTTGTAGATATGAAGTAATGACATCTTTTGTGGCACATTTTTTCACCATTTGTGGCAGATTATCAATTGGAATTGATCCAATAAGTTTCATTCTCTTTCTTCATTGGCCTAATTCACGAGCAACTAAATTTGCTTGTCTATAAAAATGAACCAGGCTCCAGTCTATGTGTTCTCCCAGCAATTGTGTTTATGTCTTTGATGATCATGGCTATGGACCAGTGCGGCTTTTATGTGTTCCAACATTGCAGCATATATAATAGCTTGTTGAACATAGCTCCATGACTTGCTATGACCCCAAAGTGCTGTTTTTTTTTTTTTTTATTACTGAGGCACCAGGGCTTCCAGTACTGTTCCATCAGTTCTTCTTGCCACTGCTGCTATGCACTAGTGCGTTTTATCAACTGTTGCATCAAGGTTTTATCTTTATTCCCCATCGCATGTGATGTATACCGGTAAAGAGAAGATGTTGTGGATATTTGGGACTGGGTGATGGCAATTGGTTCTTGATGTTTGTGGGGTATAAACTCATCAAATTTCAGTTGTATTTCATTGTGAATGGACTAAGCCTCCAATGTTGCCTTTTGGAAGGTGATCTTGTTCCTCTATTTCAAGATTGTTTCTGCTATAATCGCTAAGAAAAGAGTCAATTTGAAGAGATAGGGGTTGCATGATCCAAAGAGGATTGTGGGGTTGAGTACATGATATATCCATTCTTGAATATTTAGATGTGGGAATGACTCAGTTCCGAAGCCACATTTAGCATACCGAATCATCTTTGCAATTGGACAGAGGAAGAAAAGGTGTGTATTTGAGAGATTTGTTCTTTCTCTCTCTTTTTTCGCATTCTTTAAAGGTATGATGAGATTTAGTTATGCTCTAGGGATTATGCGATGAAATTAACTTGATATTATTGATTAATCGATTTTATTTTTACATCTAATTAATTCAACAAGATTCAATTACTTTTATTTTATTGAAAATAATAATATATGGTGTGAAGTTGATTTTATTATGTTTCATGCATCTAAAAATTTGACAATCTTATTAAAAGACCCATATTAAATAAAAATATCTCAGTACGCTTCCAATTGGCCCCCCTCGTGAGGAAAAACTAGCTCCGCTCCTTCAACTGTCTTTGTCTGCAAATGAATTCCCATAGGGTTGCAATTTTGATGCTTTTGAACTTTCCTTGATCTGCATCTTTCTAAAAATGTCTGGAGAGAACTTCAGTACATAAGATAAGGGGGAAGGGGAACATCTTATCTTAATGCGTCGTTGTCCTCAGAATCTCCCGAAAGACCCCTCCTGTTGCTTATACAATACCTTCACTGTAAGGGAGAGAGTAGGATAGTTGACTTTCGTATCGTATTCAAAATTATAATTTTTTGATGTGTAAATTATAATTTATTAAGGGCATAATTAATGATAAAAATTATAATTTTAAAATGTTAAATTGTAACTCACAAAAGAGAAATTACAACTGCATAAACAACTCATGGTCGATGGTGAATTTTTCCAAATAATTGTAATTTTACTTGTAGAAAGTTAAACTTAACTATTAAAAATAATAATTTTTGGTACAGCATTAATAAAGAAATAAAATTAAATACAGTAGAATTACCCTGACTATAATGATAAGATAATGGTCAATGAAAGAGGAGTTGGAGTTGGGGCCCAATTGCTGGACCTTAAACAGGGCTATCTTCAGGGAAAGTGTGGAATATTGTGAACATGTGCGATACTTTTCCAGCAGCAAGAACATGGTTCCAACTTTGTACGGGTGTCTGATGTTGACCTCTGAACTTAGGAATTCCACTGCACGGTTAGCCCAAAATCTTTGAAAATAGAACTATGATATAGAAAATTGTGCTATATATATAAATATATGACTTATTCATAATGAGAGCATTTTGGAGTTAGCTATTCATTCAAAACTCAAAATATTTAATGGGCCCAACAGTTGTATGATTGTCCAAGAGACCTCCACGATCTATCTGCTTCTCCGCAATAAAGAATGAGTCATAATTCAAAGTAGGGAGCCCGACAAAGAGTTAAGGTCGTCACAATCCTGCTCGGTTATAGCAACTTCAATGGTACGCAGTCCAAGAACGAGGAGCTCAGTATTCACTAGGCCCTGAATACACCACATCACACTACGTATCCAGGGGATGGGGGATAGCTTCTGAAACCTTTAAGGAACGTGTATGCCCTGGTAAAGAGAATATTTGTGCACATTTCATTGAAATACCGTGAATATGACTTTGTGTCAAGATAACAGTCACCATTACAAGATAAAAAGGAGGGGGCTATAGAATCAGTCAAAGGAAAAAGATGATCCCAAAAAATCCTAGATAACCATTTGTATAAATAGAACACCATCACGCTATGTAAAAGAGATAAAAAAAAAAAAAAAAACCCTGTATTAACAAGGCATTGTTGACTCAAAGCTCTAAAGCTAAGAAACCAACTGTAATATTTTTCTTCTTCAAGTAATACAAACTTTATAGAGTAAGAACCTCAATTATAATGGACGTAACCCTAATCTTTCGACTAGGGTGAATCACTTATACGTTGTCTTTGATCCCATTTCTTTATACTTTTCTTTTGTTAGCTTAGAATATTCACACTATCCCTTCCTTAGCATATAAATGGGTGACTTGGACTTGAGCTAAGTATTTTCGAGTACTATTAATTATCAATATTTGTTTCAATTGGCACCATTAGAATCTTTTTCTCTCATACATACTCAATTTTATTAATGGTGTGTTTAATTAAGTTGATAGAAAAATAGAAAGATAAAAAATAAAAGTGATATATTTTCTATCCTTAAAGGAAAAATCTTTTCTTCACTTCTTTGTATTTGGTAAGAATAATGGAAAGTAGAAATGATTAATTTTTTATTTTATTTTTGGTAGGATGAAAAAATTGAAGAATAAAAAAAATATAGATGTATATTTTATCATTATATCTATATATATATATATAAAATTAATGTATACATAATATGTAATAAATGAATATGATATATGCATATATTAAAGAATATATAGATAAATAACATATACTTCAACAACACACATAATTCTGACAAAAAAAAAAACACGCATAATTAACTTTTCATCTATTTTTTTCTCCCAATTTTAGATGAATTGATTTTTGTGAGTTGAAAGGAAATCTAATCCATAAACTTTTCATCGTTCTTATTTTTCTTCCTTATCAAACATGATATTTTATTTATCTCTCAAAATTCCGTCCTTCTAACTTTTTATCATTTCGTTTTTTATCGTATCAAATTAAACATTAGTATTAAGTTATGACAAAAAAATTCATTAACGTTCTCAATTAACTAACGTGGAGTTTGAATTCCGCCAGGCAGCTATATGGATCATTCTTGGTTACTTATGTAGAGGTTTCTTACTTGGAGGCTATAGTTTTGTCAAATTCCACGTACGATGGTTTCACAACTACCAAGTACCAACCCAACAAAGACATAGAGATTAGTTGCCTGATTTTCTGCTTGATCACAGTCAATACATTCATCAGAGAAAAATGAATTCTCACATTGAAGACGGACCGGAGATCTTAGTCTTAAACTAAAGTTTACCAAACTCTTTTTTTTGTTGTTTCATCGGTTAAAAGTATTCGATATAATTTACGTGTATCTTAATTAATCTTTTCTTCAGTCTAGTCAAAGATAAATCATACATGTCGAAACTATAATATTTGTAAGAGATAAATCTCTCATAACCTGGTTTAAAAAGTTGTCAAAATTCGAATTCAAAATATTTAAATTTATAACTTGTCTTTGCTATCATTTGAACTACCTTGGATTAAAATTTATCAAATTCAGTTAGCTGCATAAGCTTTATCAAGGTGTATCCGTACAAACATATGCAAATGCTGAACAATGGTTCAATTGGATTGGACGGATAAAATCCCAAGTTCAATACTCAAAGGTGTCCTTTTCACTCCAAGTGCCAAGTAGAAACCAGGAATGGGAGGTTAAGCTTCCTTTCTTTTTCACCTGAAGTGTTAAAGTAATTGTAACATCATTTTTAAATTGTGCAACTTCACCTCAAAAAATAATAATTTTTAATAAAGTATCAAAATAAAATTTGGTACTGTAGAATTGTCCTACTAAAAC